TGGATACATGTGGGGATTTGTTTTAGCATTGCTGAAAGCTTGGTACTCACCTTGAAAAGGCACTTGGGATTTGTAGTTTGCTGGCAAATCCCAGGTTAGGAGGACAGATGTTTTCATGACAGCTTTGACACCAAAGTTTAAGGTGGGAAGATCTAGGATGGGAAAATGATTTAATTAATATCGCAAGTATAACATTAAGTCAACTCAAAATGTTATGTCATTGGGTAGTACCATTTATCACACTACTGTGCAGCAAGTAACCCTCTCGCTGAATAATGAGAACATATTCCATGGTGATACCTTATGACCAAACTTGCCACAGGGGTGTAAGGATCATCAACATTATTATTCACGCCAGGTTATAGATTACATAAAAGTAGCTTTCATCTCTCTAAGCATGTTTCATTTATTACACCGTGTTCAGAGCGAGACAAACACAACAGACAGAGATCCCAGTGATAACCAAGAAATGAATATGGCAGTAAGATGGCAACATGTATCTTAAAATAGGCATTGTGCACAACTGGTTATACATAAGAAATCTTACATTTAAATAAGATTAAAAAGTGCACGAGAAGGTGCATGCTGGGTATGCTTCAGATTTGTGTCTAATGGGAGGGAGGACGAGGATGCATGGTAGTGTGACGGTAGCACGTAATGAGATTAGTACTCTATAAATCAATAAACACAGTGCTGTACTTTACTGAGTGCTAGATGAGAAAGACATGGCAGTTATAGAGATAAAAAAGAGATGGCTATAGTGTTCAAAAACATAAGCAGGTCATATAGTGTTCATGTATATGTTGTAGATAAGGTTGCGTGTGTAGATGTACATGTGTAAGCGCATGTAATAAACCCTGATTCTGTGTTTTCAAATCAAACACCTCTGATATGTTTGTGTATAAATGTCAGCCATGTGTCTTACCAATGGACATGGTCCTGCTCTGGATGCTGGGGCTGAGCGGTCCCCCGCCCTTACTGGTGAAGGCCTGCACTCGGATATCGTAGGTGGTGTCAGGATTTAGGCCATGGATTGTCATGTGCGTGTCTGAGGTGCGGTTGGTGCTGTTCTGCTGGCTGTTGATGTCCCTGTACACAACCAGGTAGTGCACGATCTTCCCGTTCCTCTCGGCCACCAGCGGCGGCTCCCAGGTCAGCTGTGTGGAGGACTGGGTCAGTCCTGTCACCTGGAGGTTGAACGGGAAGCCTGAGGGCACGTCTTCAGCGGTTCCGATCTCCTTCACGTAGGCCTCGCCGATGCCTGCACGGTTACGGGCGCTGAGGCGGAACACGTATGTGGCGCCTTTGTGCAGCCCGGTGACGGTGTAATGTTCCTCGGTCTTTTTCAGCTCGCGGGAGGTGTAGGTTTCCTCGTCGGTGCGCTTGTACTGCAGCTGGAAGCCCATCAGCTCACCCACCATTTCCTTAGGAGGCTGCCACTGGATCAGCGCTGTGTTGCCACTGGTGGTGCCACTGGTGGTGCTGATCATCATGTTGGGCTTGTCCTGGAATATTTCCACTTTAGTTCTATCACTATGAAGTCAGAAAATGAGTTAAGTAATTCTTCTAAATATGCAAAACCTTTTTTTAAATTAAAGATTCTCTCATAACTCTCAAAAAGTTCCACATTTTAAGAAATATGCTTATTTTACTTAAATATTCAATTTTCATATTTGCCTAATAAAGTATAGGGCTAGTGCCAACGGATAGTTAGCCTAGCTTAGCCTAAGGGTTGAGACAGCTTATCAAAAGAATACCCACCTCAATAACCACACACTTTAAATCACTAATAAATCAATAAATGATATGTCACTAATAAACTAGATATGAAGATTTGAAGGTTACAAGCCTCGCTCATACACAGCACTTTATCAACAGTTAGTGCTAACTAGTCTTTGAAGCTAATATAAATGTAGCATCTCAATAAAACCAACATGACTATCCAGTCATACATGTTTTCACTCATACTACAAGAGTACAGAGGTTTTCAGATTCAAGCCTTAAAGATAACAGCACAGTATTCACTGTAAATAGATAGCACATATCCTGTGTTTTACATGATAACCCAGATAAAAGCAACTCTGACCTGCTCCAGTCGTGGTGATGACTTTAGCTTTGCTACGAGCTCCATCTCCCTTGGTGGTGTACGCTGCTACAGTGACAGAGTAGGTGGTTTCAGAGTGCAGTCCAGCTATGATGGCCTCCTGCGAAATGGAAAAAATCACAGGGTCAGAGTTTAAAACGAATCAGTGGGTCTGAGCGGGACCGCCTCAATGGCAAAAAACAAGCAAACCAACCCTCTCACACAAGCTCCCATCCCCTCACAAAACACACAGCACCAAAAGAAACCATAATAATATTAAACCCCTCTTCTCCATCCACTTGTAGTTTCTTTATCAATCCGCCTATAATAGGAAACAACATTTCTAAAGCATTTAACAGAGAAAGGTTTTGAAGGCACACAAACAGGACCAGAGATTTTCTTGACCAACTTTTCTTCGTCAAGAAAAACTCTTTGGCCCAATTTTAAAGGCACACACTGAACCCGTTAACCAACCAACCAAACCATTGAACCAGAACATCACCAGTGTATCAGTGTTCAGGGCTGCTGCATGGATAAGCATGGGATTATACCCAGAGGAGCTTAGGATCATCACTACACTATAAAAGCCCACAAAGTGTACACTTCTGGCTGTGGGACATATTGTAAAAAAAACTGTTAAAAATAAAACATCAAACAGATGTTGCACTTTTTCTTTTTCGTTTAAATAGCTAAGTTTAATTTTTAGATATTTACTATCCTCTGGATTTCCATGCAAGTTGGGGTGGGCAGCCTCAAAAACACAGACACACTGAGGTGGTCGAACAGATCAGTAACTCAACAGGAACAAACAGACAGCAGAAAAAACAACAAACAACTGAAATAACACTGTTATTGGTAACCTGCTGCAGTGCTGGCACTCACTTCACCAGACTGCATCAGCCTGAGTAAAAACACACCCACACGCTGGAATTAAACACTGTGAGCTTGAACAAAGCCCACAAGTAAACAGAAATAAATACACATAGGTGAATGCACATACTCACCGGTGTATAAATACTGTATATAAACACACAGCAAAGTATGCATGCAGGTAGAGACACACCATGAATGTTCACACAGACACACACACACACACACACACACAATGATGCACGCAGACATGAGCACACACACTCGATACCAAGAACAAATGAACGCCT